TTTATGGATTCCGCTGCTGATATATCTATGTTAAAATATAGTTTTGATATAGTTAGTTTTTATCGATAAAATATAGCACAAACATTTAATAAAAATATACATAAAAATATAGTTACACGAATTCAAGGTATTGGAGGTGTAAGGGATTCACTAGGAATTATCATACTTAATGTGACTATAGACAGGGTAAAGTTGAAGGAAGTTCTGTTTTATGTAGTGACTGATGATACATTTGAAGGCCCTGATGTTCTCATTGGGAATGACATCATTGATTCACCCGAGATAATAATGGTTAGAAATCAAGGCAGATCCAAGTTAGTTCATGTGGAAGAGCTGGATTTTTTGCATGATTTCCAGAATAATGAAATGCCTGATAGGGTTGTGTTGAAGACCCTCGAAAAGTTCGTGATTGAACCGCGTACAGTTCAATTGGTAACTGTCTTCAGTGCATGTAAATCTCAGAACGGATTTATTTCCTGCAGTGGTCGAGATGATCTAAGCTATCCACGTTTGCTATCCACGATGGTAANCCGTGAATCCTAGTAGCATAAATTACAATTAAAGAAAAATCTTGTTATCTTGCGAGGAAATTAGGTATATGAAAATAGTTACAATTCAGTGGTTAAAAAAGATGCGGATTCAACCCCAGCCGTTTTATTAGCAAAAGAAATTGTGCGAAATCCAATCGATAGAGAATGTGTTAAAATTGGACCATCAATAAATAAAGAAAAACAGCAAATTTTATGTGATTTATTAAATGAATTTAGGTTGTGTTTTGCTTTAAAACAAGATGAACTAGAATGCATTAATAATACAGGAGGGAACCGATTATCCGGAACGATCGGGACCATCGATATTCCGGATAACTGATTTTTCTGATTTTCTGAATCTCTACAAAAAACCGTTTTTTTTATAGTTAAACCCAACTAAAAAAAAAATTGGAAATAATCTTAAAAAGAAAAAAAAACGATGAAGAAAAAAAACTAATGATTATTTCCAAAATGATGGTAAGGTAAACAGCTTTAAAAAAAGAACGAAAAATCCTAAAATCTTATGAGGAAAAAAAAATTATTATTTTTTTTAAAAAGCGGGAAAACTAATCGAATTTCGTTTTGGTTTTTTTGGTTTTCCGGTTTTCTGATTTCCGGATAACGGGTTCTGTACTGTACTATAATGCGTATCGTTGAGACACCGGGTAGTAGACACTGTTTCTCGTTCACCCTATTGAGCTTCGAACTACGAGAGACAAGTTTTAAGAGAAATTGTTCAAGAATTAAAAGATCAGGGTGTTATTCGTGACAGTTCTTCTGAATGTAGTAGCCCTGTTTTGCTCGTATCTAAGAAAACTGGTGATCATCGTATGGTAATTGATTACAGACATTTAAATTCAAATGATATGTCAACAGTTTTGGTTTCCACCTATGGCAAGTTATATCAAGCAGCATATACAACAGAGTGTCATATGTGCATTTACAAAAGTACCTGGTAGGAAAGCTCAAGGTAAACTTAATACCATTCCACCTGGTAGTCGCCCATTTGAAGTTGTTCATATGGATTTCCTTGGCCCATTTGTAACAAGTTCAGCTCGCAACAAGGAGCTTTTGGTTTTTGTTGACAATATGACTAAGTTTGTGCACCTCCGTCCATGTCCTAGTTGCTCAACTAAAAGCGTTATGAAGTGTCTTGATGAATTTACTGATGATTTTGGTTCTCCGAGGTGAGTCATTGCAGACAGAGGGAGCAGCTTCACGTCCTCGGCGTTTGAAGGCTATTGTAAGCAATTGGGAATCAAGCATACATTAAACTCCAGTCAAAGACCACAAGCTAATGGACAAGTTGAACGCATAAATCATATACTTATTCTAATGATATTTTCCAATGTCCAAACGGAATCTCACAAGGATTGGGATAAAATATTACCAGAAGTACAAATGTGTATTAACTGGTCTCCGAGTAAGTCGACTGGAAAACCTCCTTTTGAACTCTCGTATGGATACACGCCAGTAAAGCCTGGATATTTTCCACAAGATCTACTACCAACATCAAATGACTACGTAAATCCAACAAAACTGCAAAGAGATGCACAAGAAAAGATGAAAAGGAATTATGACAAACATCGATGTGATGCATTTAAGTACAATATAGATGATGTTGTGGTCGTAAGACGATTACCTGAACAAACTGCCTTATCTAACACTAAAATCCAAGTTAAGTACAGAGGTCCTTAAACAGTCATCAAAATATTACCATCCGACACTTATCAAGTTGCTGATTTACGCGCAGTTGGACAAGGATGAAGAAGGCAACATAATTATACGACTACCGCCCACGCTTCGCAAATAAAACTATTACATCTGGTCAACAACGAAGATCTGTCTGATGATGGGGACAATATTACTGGAAGTAAGGAAAACTTCATTGCTTGTGAACCCATAAACGACAACAGTACAAATCAATGCAATGACGATCCAAATAAAAATTTAAGCCAAGATAACAGTAGACCAAAGAGATGTAAAAGTGTGCCGCTTCACTTGCAGGATTATAAGTTGTTTTGAAGGGACGAGGTCGTCCAAAAGTCAGGATGATCGAGTGTAAAAGTGTGAACGTGAACATTAATTATATTCTTATTACATATTTAGTATTCCATGTTTCGGCAACAGCAGTTCTTGTGTACGATACAGATTGTGAGTTTTTAAAGTAACGGTGCGCGTAAATTTTAATAAAAGTATACAGTAAATGAACTGCGTTTGTTTTGATTTTCTTTTAAAAAGTTGTTTCTTACAGAATGTTGGGATTTGGCACAGATTTGTTAAGCCAAGAAATTATGAAAAAACCACACATTTGTCCATGGCCCCTGCTATTTAAACAGGGATTCAGAAAAGGAATTAGTTGCAAGAATATCCTTAACTTATTCAAATGTCATGCGAATGGGAAAATTTAGAGATTTTGATATCTTCCAAAACATGACACCATTCTGACGATAGGTAATTTTTGGGTTTATCTTAGTGCATTTTTTTTAAAGAATTATTACCTATTAACTTCAGAAAATAATCTTTTAATTGGTATCTTGACTTTTTATGGCTCTTTGTGAAAGTACAATTTTTACCTCTTAAAATTAATAAGAAACAATTAAGTTTATGATTTAATATAGAAAGACTCGTATGAGACATTTTATATTATATGTATTATATATATATATATATATATATATATATGTATATATTATTACACAATGTGTTCTATTTTTGTTTCACTTTTT